CGGGCATGTACATATAAGGCACATCAACCCCCTCTCCGTTGGTCGATGTGGGATCTTACAATCCACCCCCCTTAGGGGCCCGACGTCCTCGTCGGCACACTTGCACCATACGGCAGAGTGGCTCTGATACCAAATTGTCACATCCTGAGATCGGCTCCGCCGTAGCACGATATTGTCTACTTTGGGCCCCCCTCTCTGCCCTCACGATTTTGTTTTTGGGAGCTCACGAGCAACTTCCCAGTGGGTCACCCATCCTGGAATTGCTCTAGCCCCCAACTCGCTTAACTACGGAGTTCCCATGACTCCGAAGCCAGTGAGCTCCCAAAAAGCCACGTGCTAGATGAATGCGGGCATGTACATATAAGGCACATCAACCCCCTCTCCGTTGGTCAATGTGGAATCTTACAATCCACAGTTGAGCAGCTTGTTTGATGCTTGCAGGTATGCTCTTAATTTTGGTCCCACTCAGATTTAACGCTTGTAATGAGGTTAAGCAAAAGAGGTAATCAGGGACAACCTTTAGGTTATTGCAATCACAAAGATCTCATTTTCGAAGCGCAACTAGATTTCCAATTGATGGGGGTACCTCTTTAACCGCTATAAATGATAAATTTAGAAACTCCAAATGTTCCATAGCCTCCGAGATTTCTGAGAAGTGTTGAAAGTTAGAGCAACCATTGAGATAAAGGCTCTCCAGAGATTTCAACTTCCAAATGCTCGTTGGGAGACTCACAAGGCTTTTGCAATCAAACAGTTCAATTGCAGTTGTATTCTTGGGAAGCTCCCAAAACTCGCAAAGAGAATTGCAGCCCTTTAGACTTAAAGAACCCAAGAGTTTCAGCTTACAAGTGTTGCTTGGAAGACTCTTAAGGTGTTGACAAAATCTAATATCTAAGTGAGATATTTTTTCGTGAGACCAAACTGATGAAGGCAATTCCTCTATTACTGTCCAAGACAAATTTAAGAATTCAAGATTGCATGGCATCTCGGGAAGATTTTTTAGATTTGTGCATTGCCCAAGGTCAAGATAAGTAAGCTTGCTAAGATGTTGAAAATACGAAGGAATTTCAACCAAACTTTGACAGCCATTCAGATCTATATGCTCAATTTTTTGACTCCGAGAGAGATTTGGGACTTCAGTTAGATGTTTGCATTCACTTAGATTGATCCATTTTAAGTTCACAAGACTCGGTAACAAATTAAATAAGAATTAATAACTTAGCTTGCAGATTATTACTTTCTAGGCCACATGTTATACAAGAACTAAAATAAGCATATATAATATACCTGGTCTTGATTCCAAAGTTGCCCCCCAACTTCACTGCCCGACATACTAAGGACAACAAGATTTTGAGCAGAAAATTTTGATGGCAAAGATTTCAAAGGATATGCGCTCCATTCAAGATATCTAAGAGAATTGGGAAGATCAAGAGAACCAATTACTGGACGATTATTACAGACACGTAGTGATCTCAGTTGATGCATCTTTTCGAAGCTTGCATGTTCCAACTCCAAGCGTAGCATTTCAATCTTAGACAAGTCAAAGGATATGGCTTGAACATGTCCATCTCCCTGACAATAAAGAGCAAAGTATAAATGTAAATATAATATATAAAATTACATTTGTAGGAATAATCTGACTTGTTTATTGTAAATGTGTGTATTACTACGTACCTAGTTATTTGTCAATACTTGATAGACATCCTCTGCATTGTTCTCGAGCAATTGCCCTACCCATTTGTCGCACGAAATTATGCATCTCTATCCGTCCTCCTTTTGAAATTGATATGAGAGACCTATCAATAAGATGATTGATTCCCGCTTCCCCATGGAAATCACGACTATCTAATAATTCTTTTACATACTTCCTCTCATGACCTTCTTGAAGACAGAGAAAACATGCTATATCAAGAAATATCTCCTGCTCATGTATTCCTAATCCATCGTAACTTATTCTCAACACTCGATCGATATCTTCGTTTGGAAATCGTTTCAATTTGTTCCATTGCGCTTCCCACTCTTGTTTGCTCGTGCAACGACGGAACAAGGACCCCATAACTTTAAGAGCTAATGGATTGCCCTTAACATAATCCACCACCTCTCTTGACAAGAACTCATTGTAATCTATTGTTGGAGACTTATTTCCATGAAAAGCATGCGAATGAAAAAGCTGGAGAGCTTCATCAGAACCTAATCCCTCAACATTGTATATCTTTTCAGGGTCAACTTTTTGCTCAAGTAGTAGGCCTTTATCTCTAGCAGTTATAATGATTCGACTTCCTTGGCAAAACCGATCATCATCACCAACAAGATATTCTAGTTGTTTTCGAGCATTCACATCATCAAGAACAATGAGCGCCTTCGTACGCCTGAGCCTAATTAGAATATTATTAGCCGGTATAGACGGAGTGTTGATATTTACATATTTATCCTTTAATAATTCATGAACAAGTGTATTTCGCAAGTCATTTAGTCCATCCGTTTTTTCTGATTTCTCCCTGACATTTGCGAGAAAACAACAAGCTTCAAATTTAGAGGACTGCCACTGCCTTTGAAATACAGCATCAGCAAGGGTGGTCTTGCCAATACCAGCCATGCCCCAAATACCTACACAGCAAACACCTGGTGAATCCAAGCATAATAAAGACTCAATTTGCTCAATTTTTCTTTCAATTCCAACCAGGCCCTTTAAATCACTTGACAATCCGCGAATCAATTTGGTCCAAACATCTTGAACAACTTCCTCAACAAAATCGGCCTCTGTCCTCCTGGCAAATATCATTATGAAAGACAAACAATAGTAAGTATATGAATCAAATTATCACAAAAAGAAATTGATACAAGTTAGAGATTTAGTATACCCTGTTTTGCTTGAATAATGAAACCCAGCCATATACCCAACTATATCGGCTGCTTCCTTCAAAGCATCATGCCTACTGCTCTCAAGTGGACGATCTTCAAGTGCATAAGTTCCCTGCTGTTTTCGTACATCTAATGGATCTATGCGATAAAAAATGGGTATAACAATCTGTCTATAGCTTTTCTTGCATCCAAGTATATGCACAAGTTCTTTCAAACACCGTGTGGAAGAAGCATAGTCTTTTGAGACAATGACTAGTGCAATTTTCGATCTCTCGATTGCTTTTAGAAGGCCAGGAGCAATTTCATCTTCTCTCTCGAGCCAGTGATTTATGTAGGTGAAAATGTTCTTCTGACGTAAAGCCTCGTGAAGATGGCCGGTAAAACCATTGCGTGTGTCCTCACCTCTGAAGCTCATAAACACATCGTACTTTTCTGCAGCAGCAACAAAAGAAGAAGAAGATGTTAATGATCTGAAGTACATGAGCTATAATTAATAGCCTTATATATGTTTGTGCGTATTTAGTTTGTTGGAATTTAGGAGGTGTGTGATGAGTGTTTGTGATACCCCACTGTTGGGTTTTTAGAAGAACAATAGAGTGATTTTATTTATTCAACAATAGGATGGATACCCCACTGTTAGTTGTAGCTATTGGCCTTTATCACTAGCTTGATTACAAACAGAAAGCTTAATGGCTATTTATAGAGGGAACAACCATCTAGTAAAGTCGGTTATTCTAGTAAACCGACAGCAACTTGTAATTCCAGCCACATATTGTAGCTTCAACTAGAACTTTCTACTAGCTTCAATTAAGTTAGTGACTAGTGTTTAGGGAATACATCCACCGACTTTGCATTCTAAATTATCCTAGAAAATTCTGCTAGCTTGTAGAAATCTCCACATTTGTGCATTATTTTTCAACATAGTTATAGAAGAAAGAGAATCTGATATTGGAGATTGATGAGGATCTAATTAAGCAAGAGAGAGAGCTAGAAATAAGTTGACAACATTGCACTCTGGATATGTGTTATGAGAGGAAGCGAGGAAGAAGATGAAAGCATGGGTGGTTTTAGCATATTTCCAAGAGCTTGACGAACTCCTGGGCGATTTGACAGAAGAGAAAATAGGAAGCAATGGAAGGACAGGGCTTGAAATCGGAGGGTTCCAGAGATGAGAGATGATGCTTGCTCTATCTGGATGTGGGTTTTGAGAGAGAAAGGAGGAAGATGGAATAACAAAGCATGAAATTGAAGGATTCCAGAGGGGATGCTTGCCTTCGATCGGTTTTCATGGTTGCTGGGAGGCTTGCAGCAACCAAGGTGAGTTGTCTTGCTGGGTAGAAAGTGGCTCCTTTTATAGGCGATGGAAACCCTTAATTTTGTCAAGAAACCCTTTCCCCTTTTCTTTCACTTTCTTCCATTCCATCTTATTTGGTGAAACCTTCCTAGCCTGAGCATGTAGGCATGAAACCTTTTGGAGTTCCAAGACCTTCACACAGCTGGACTTCTCCATGTGGGTGAGGAGCCATTCACTTTTCCTTCTTGTTTTCTCACCAAAGCTTAAAGAGGAAAGAATGGGTAAGGGTGCTGGTCAAAAGGTGATTTACTTCCATCAGCACATGGTTTTGCTCGATTTTGATGGTTTGGCTTTGATCTGGTTTTAACAAAGATATTTTCCACGATGCTGGGCTGGGCTATTAGTATTTTATTTCCAACGGCCTGTGAGTTTGCTCAAGCAGCTGGAAAAACAGCCTATTTGATCAAGGTGCTGGATATTTTGGCAGATATGGGAATTTTCCAAGTGTTATGGGCTATTAGGTTTTTCTCTCATGCTTACCCATATGTTTGGGCTCAAGGAATGGGCTTAAGTTTTGGTGCTCCCAAGTAGCCCAAAACTTCCACTCCTTGGACCATCAATGGGCCTCGTGAATACTCGTAACCATCCATACCACAACCCGCGCAGCAAGCCCCAAGCGTTCGCGTGGCTTGGGTCCACTTAAGCTTGTAGCTTGGCGTGTTGCTTATTTGCTTGGCGTGGCATGTGTGCAAGCGCATAGAACGAACTTTCGTGTGCCCACATCAGGTTTCTTCTCGATAAGGTATAACATTGGACCGAGATTATATTTGGGCCTAGCCTTGGATTTTTTAGGCCTCAACAATCAGAAAAATGGGTTCGAAACTCGTTGAAAGCACTTTGTAGGGGCAAGCCAAACCCCGAGCAGAGATTAATCTCATCCTTCGGATGTGGTGACACATCATGGTATTTACCAAAAAAAAAAAAAAGGAGAACTCTCTTTGTTAATCAAAGATGATAAAAAAACAATTTTAACCTTTTATATTAAATAATTTTAATAATTAAAGGTGATAATGTAATTTTAACTTTCTAATCTTCCATTCCAAAAAAGAAAATTTAGGTTTTAGCTACAAAAAAACATTCACTTTTGGAAAAAGCCAAAACTTTTTCAAAAAAGACAGAAAAACCCCTCAAGTTTCAAACCAAAGACATGCAAATGTAAAGGATTCCTTAGGAAATCTAAAAATAAATAAGGGCATTTTTGTCCATTTTGGCTTCTTTTACAAATATTTCTCTCTCCTTCGGCCTTTTCCAAAATATCCCCTATTTAATTTGTTTGGAGAAAGAATATTTAGTTAAAAGAAAAAAAGAAAAGAAAAAGAAAAACCTAGGAAAATCTCGGTACATTATGAACTGGTCTGTAGCTCTGTGCTCTGGGTCTCATCACTCCAAGAGCCACAGCAATCCTGGTCAATCGAAACATGAACAACGGCGAGCGAAGACGCTTAAATGGAGAGGCAGAGGAAGACGAAGACGAAGACGATGCAAACAATGGAGGCCTCGCTGCTTGGGAACGAGCCTACGCTGATGAGAGGTCATGGGAGTCACTGCAAGAGGACGAGTCTGGGCTTCTTCAGCCCATTAACAACCAGACCCTTAAACATGCTCAGTACCGTCGTCGCCTTCGTGCTGCCTCCACTGCTCGAATTCAAAAGGGTCTTATTCGTTATCTTTACATTGTTATCGACCTCTCTAAGGTATTTGATTCCCATTTGCTTAATACCCTTTTTAGCTCTAAGGAAATTTTGTTCAATTTTGGTTATGGGTCTGTCTGTTTTTGTTTAGAGAGAGAGAGAGTTTAGCTTATTTTTCTTTGGTTTGATCTGATGGAATTGGTTTTTCTGGAACCTTTTGTTTAGTAAAGTTTGGAACTTCAAATTGATTTGAAGTACATTGACTTTATTCTGGGTTGAAGAATGGTTAGAGCTGAGTGAGGACAACCAAGGACATTGGTTTATATCATCTTCAATCAATAATGAAAATGATACATTAAGATACATGGATGCAGAAGTTCTTTGATAGTTCTGAGTGATATGTATCTACTTAATTGATTTCAAATTGTTGCCTTTGGTTTCTTTTAATATTTGTAGGCTGCTGCGGAAATGGATTTTCGACCAAGCCGAATGGGCGTGGTTGCAAAACATGTTGAGGCTTTCATTAGAGAGTTTTTTTACCAGAATCCGCTTAGTCAAGTTGGCCTGGTGACTATAAAAGACGGTGTTGCCCATTGCTTAACGGATCTTGGTGGCAGTCCCAATTCTCATGTTCAAGCTTTGATGGGTAAGCTGGAATGCTCAGGTGACTCATCCCTACAGAACGCATTGGATCTTGTACATGGGTATCTGGAACAGATTCCATCATATGGTCATAGAGAAGTTCTGATCTTATATTCAGCTCTCAGTACCTGTGATCCAGGAGATATAATGGAAACTATCCAGAAATGTAAGAAATCCAAAATTAGGTGCTCAGTTATTGGTCTCTCAGCAGAAATTATCATATGCAAACATCTATGCCAGGAAACTGGTGGCTTGTACTATATTGCATTGGATGAGGTGAGTTCAACTAAGTAACCCTACACTGCTAAAATAACATGAATTCTGGTTTTTCAAGGCATTTGAGCACAAATTCTATCATCTGGATGAAACGTTTCTCAAGAATGACCTTGATGATAACCCAAAATAAGAAACAGTGTTGTCATAGAGACTGGAAAGTGGTCTTTAGTCTCACACTTAAAAGATTTAACATTTAATTTTTTTTTAGTCTGATGTTCATCCAGATTTATTTATTAGATTTAACCGACAAGTTTGTTTTTAAAACATTCATTCTGATATGTATCTCCTTGCATAGCCACACTTAAGAGAGTTAATCTTGGAACATGCACCTCCACCACCAGCAATAGCAGACTTTGCAATTGCTAATTTGATAAAGATGGGCTTCCCACAAAGAGCGGTAGAGGGCTCTGTGGCAATTTGTTCATGTCACAAGGAGGCAAAGGTCGGAGGTGGATACACTTGTCCAAGGTGCAAGGCACGTGTATGTGACCTACCTACTGAATGTCGCATTTGTGGGTTGACGCTCATTTCTTCTCCTCATTTGGCAAGGTCTTATCATCATCTTTTCCCCATTGTGCCATTTGATGAGGTCTCTCCGTCACTACTAATTGATCAACAAAACAAGTTTCCTAGAGCTTGTTTTGGCTGCCAACAGAGTCTTCTCAATCCCGGTAAGTATTTAGGTACATAAAATAGATCATTTGGAGCTTTTGCAATAAATTTGATCATACATGCATTTGAATGGCATTGCTTCTGGTCATCTGTGTTTTTGTTTGGTTATGAAATGTTGTAGATGTAGATCAGTCATGTTTTCTATGATTGTGTTGCTGTCAACATTAAAACTTCTGCAGGTCCAATAAGGATGCTGGGAAGCTTAGTGATTCTTTGCCATAATGCAATTGTTCCCCAACATGTTAGCAGATGCTCCCTTAGGAAGCAGCATCTAGCTGCTTTTGAGTGTAATAATGATAAGACTACTTAAGAGGGGAAGAGTCTAAATTGGAGTAGGTTAGATGATGAGAGAATGAGAGGCATCTTATCCCCTCCAAAAAGAGGCAGTAATAGAAAAGTGAAGGAAGAGAAAAGGCAATAAAAGTGAAAAGGTGAACTGGAAATTTGGCTCAACCCTTAATTATAAAAATCACAGGGAAAGAGTAGGAGCACCTCCCAAATAAAACTAAGTTATTCATTGATGTCATATATAAACCTTGCCTATGTTTTCAGCTTTTTACCGGTTGCATATGTGGAATGTCTTTGCCTACGTAACAGGTGGCATCACTTCCCGGGCTTACTTCCTTTTCACTGTTTATGACACAGGAAACAAACCCAGCCTTCGTGTTGCTTGTCCAAATGCAAACAGCACTTCTGCCTTGATTGTGACATTTATATTCATGAAAGCTTGCATAACTGCCCAGGTTGTGAGGGCGCTAGGCATTCCAAGATACCAAATGCTAACAAAGGATGAAGTACTGCTGCCTCCACATATGTGGTTGTCTCTCATGACTGTTTGTACTACCTGAACTTATGACCTGGCTACTGTCACACGTGGCAGTGTTCAATCGGAGCTGCTGGGTGTCTCTGATTCTCTTCATCAAGCCTTACAAATGAAAACACAGTACTTGACGGTACATTGATGAATCCGAGTTTCCAAATTGCCATAAACGATAGTTTAAGAAACCGAGGAATTTTTTTCCTTGTTTGTTGCCGATACCGTTGCAGCTGAGGATTTGTTAGTCATAACTTCATAGAGGAGGGATTCGCATGTGAAAATGCAGATATGTTAGCCTTAAAGTACTGTGAATTTGGATATATCTGTTGTCTTTATACAAGTTTTGCTCCTGTTTGCTTTGGTTTTGCTTGGAATTGATTGACATTTTTTGCTCTCTGTTAGTTGATGGCTTCACATACAATGCAAGATTTATCTTTCATCTCAAGTAATCAAATTTGCTAATGTAAATTATGTAAACGAAAGACAGATTAAAAAGTTTCATTTATGGAATCATGTATTAACGTCTTCAATGGGTGTCCAAGTAATGGGAAATTTTCAGACCAAAAATAATTTTATAAGAAACTTTAGCTTTAAACCATTGACTCTTCATCCAATGCATCACACATCAATGGTTGGGTGTTTGGAATATTGTGGGGGTTTGAATTTTTCCAGGATATTTTACTGTCCTTTATTTGACGGAAAATCGATGACAGGCTCGTGCTAAAAACCCTCTGCTCTTCAATTTGAAACATTTTCTTTGGCTGAGGAGCATGTTCATAGACTCAAAAGTCAGAATAACAAGAATTTCATCTATATATTTAAGTCGGAATAGTCTTATTATGAAACTCAGTTGGAAACGCATAAAACTTCTATAATTTCTATGTTGCCCCGCCCTCGGAGGTGCAAGGGCCTTGCTCTGTCCTTCAAATGGATCTCTATACGTTACTACAAATATCACGCCCGAGTAATGGGCACAAAAAATTCATTAAAACCATGCCAGACCATAAGAGAAAAACATCCATTTTGACAAAAAATGATTTCTCTATAAACAACTGAATCTGAGTGAATATTTACAGGCTATTGCTTCTCACTATAAAACCGAGACAAGGCAGCTATCTTGTATTTCTGTGATGGGGTTCCCCCAACTACATCCAAATATTTGAATTGATGGATTCAAATCACATATCTCCTGTACAATACCAGCACTGGACCTGCAGATCATTAAAGAGAACTTGAACAAGCCTCTGTTTCTGTTAAGTCAAACAGGCATCACGAACACAGCTGAAACGTGAACAGGATACTGAAAAACGATAAATGGCCTCAAGCTTACAAACCAAGGGAAAATTTTTGCAGGCGCTAGCAAAAGTTTTGCAATCATGCAGTCTATTTGGATGCCTTGTGTATTAAATCACTCTGTTCTACCTCGGGTGCCTTGTGCCGCATCTAACACTTTGTTCTCCCCCAGGTGCCTTGTGCCGCATCTAACACTTCATCTCTTGTCAGGGACCAAATGTCTGTCAGCATTCTTCAAATTATAAACTCAAAACTAGATTCTCTGAGTCAATCATAAGATTACTCCAGGATATGCTCTCTATCCCAGGGAAATAAAATTAAAAAAAGCCCGAAAGATAGTTCTCATAAAGAAAAAGTTCCAGTTCCTCTATTCAGAGTCCGAGTCAATAGAAAGATACAACCGCGACCTGACAGAACGTTTTTGGCGAGGAAATGAGAAAGGACTATTTGAAAATGCTGTATGAGATATATCATCCCATTCAACATTGCAGGACATCTCCGGAAGATCTTTGATGAGATTCTTGCACCCAGCAAGTCGAAGATAAGTAAGCTTTTGAAGATGTTGAAAATACGAAGGAATTTCAACCAAACGTTCACAGCCAACAAGATCTATGCGCTCAATTTCTAGACTCTGAGAGAGATTTGGAACTTCAGTTAGATGTTTGGAGTAACCAAGATCGATCTCTTTTAAGTTCACAGGACTCTGTAACAAATTAAAAGAAATGGAAAGAATTAATAACTTAATTTGAACAAAAAAAAAAAGGAATTAATAACTTAGCTTGCATATTATTACTTTCTAGATCACATGTTATTCAAGAACTAAAATTAGCATATATAATATACCTGGCCTTCATTCCAAAGTTGCGCCCCAACTTGGCTCAATGGCATATGAAGTACAAGAAGATTTTCAGGAGAAAATTTTGATGGCAAAGATTTCAAAGGATATCTCACCCAGTGAAGATAACTAAGAGAATTGGGAAGATCAAGAGAAAAAGTTTCTAATATGTCGCGGCGGAAATTGTAAGTTTCTGCAATTAGCAATCTTAGTTTACATATCTTTCTGAAGTCTGCATGATTCAAGTTTAGGTCTTCAAAGAATATGGCTTGAACCCTTGCAGCTTCCTGACAATGAAGAGCAAAGTACAAATGTGAAATAATATATATAAAAAGTTTAATCAAAACTACATTCCAAGGAATCTGACTAGTCTATTGTAAATGTGAATATATGATAAAATACCTTGTTATTTTTCAATACATCATAGACATCCTTAGCACTGAACAACCTACTACTGCGTTCTTCAATACATTCTTCGCGAACAATTGCCCTACCCATTTCTTGCAACAAATCATGCATCTCTATGGAGTTCCTTTTTGAAATAGATATGAGAGACATATCAATGAGAACTTTGATTCCGGATAACCATGAGAAACCACGGATATCTAACATTCCCTTTACATTATTCATATTCCTGTCTCTATGAAAACATGCTATATCAAGAAATATCTCTTTCTCATTGTCATCTAATCCATCGTAACTTATTCTCAAAACTTTCTGGATTTTTGGGTTTGGAGATCGTTTCAATTTGTTCATTTCATCTTCCCACTCTTGTTTGCTCTTGAAACGAAGGAATGACGACCCCAAAACTTTAAGAGCTAATGGAATGCCCTGACTATAATCTATCACCTTTCTTGACAACTCATTATAATCTTCTGGTGGAGACTCAATATTTCTGAAAGCATGCAAATGTAAGAGTTTAAAAGCTTCATCCAAACGTAATTCCTCAACCTTGTATATCTTATCATTTTCAACTTTTTGCTCAAGTACTCCTTTATCTCTAGCAGTTATAATGATTCGACTTCCATCACAAAACCGATCATGATATGCAACAAGAAATTCTAGTTGGCTTGGATCATTCACATCATCAAGAACAATGAGCGCCTTCGTACGCCTGAGCCTAATTAGAATATCAGCTGGTATAGACGGAGTGTTGATATTTACATCTTTATCCTTCAATAATCCACGAACAAGTGTATTTCGCAAGTCATTTAGTCCATCCCTTTTTTCTGATTTCTCCCTGACATTTTCGAGAAAACAAGAAGCTTCAAATTTTGAGGACTGCCACTGCCTGTGAAATACAGCATCAGCAAGGGTGGTCTTGCCAATACCACCCATGCCCCAAATACCTACACAGCAAACACCTGGTGAATCCAAGCATAATAACGACTCAATTTGCTCAATTTTTCTTTCAATTCCAACCAGGCCCTTTAAATCACTTGACGATTCGCGATTCAATTTGGTCAAAACATATTGGACAACTTCCTCAACAAAATCGGCCTCCGTCCTGGCAAATATCATTATGAAAGACAAACAACAGTAAGTATGCACCAAATGATAACAAGTAGAAATTGATACAAGCTAGAGATTTAGTATACCCTGTTTTGCTTGAATAATGAAACCCAGACATATTGGCTGCTTCCTCCAAAGCAGCCCTCCAGTTGGCCACCTCATCCCTACTGCGCTTAAGTGGACGATCTTCAAGTGCATAAGTTCCCTGCTGTTTTCGTACATCTGATGGATCTATGCGATAAAAAATGGGTATAACAATCTGTCCATGGCTTTTCTTGCATCCATGTATACGCACAAGTTCTTTCAAACACCAAGTGGAAGAAGCATAGTCTTTTGAAAAAATGACTAGTGCAATTTTCGATCTCTCTATTGCTTTTAGAAGGGCAGGAGCAATTTCGTCTCCTTTCTCCAGTCTGTAATCAATGTAGGTCTCAATTTTCTTCCCAAGTAAAGCCTTGTGAAGATGGCTGGTAAAAGTATCGCGTGTGTCCTCACCTCTGAAACTAAGAAACACATCATACTTTTCTTGAAGAGGGGGGATATCAGCAGCAGCAGCAGCAGCAGAAGAAGAAGAAGAAGATGTTAATGATCCGAAGGACATGATGAAAACTTGAAAGAACTCAATGCACTCCGTATCTCTCTCTTTCTCTGAATGCACCAGAGCTATAATTATGTTTGTGAGTATTTAGATGAATAGAAATCAGTTGCTTGCACAGACTAAGCTACAAAACAACTGTTCTAGTTGAAGTGACTTGACAAGCACTGTCGGTGGACAAAAATTCAATCATTCACACACTGAAGAAAGGAAAGGCGTGCTTTGAAAGTAGAAGAAGAAGAAAGGAAAGGTCATGGATGGGATTAATTAAGTTGCAGTTGCAGCTGAGGAGCCAATTAAGCGAGAGAGAGAGAGAGAGAGAGAGAGAGCAGTTGCTTGCAGAGACTAAAGCTAGATCAGATTTTTAGTTTAGCAATTGTTCTAGTTGACTTGACTTGACTTGGCTATGTGCACAAAGCTACAAACAAAACGATCAGCCATTGAAAAATAAAAGTAAAATAATTACCCCTCTTGACACGCTGAAGGCATATGGAACTGTCGGCGGATAAAATTTCAAGCATTCACACGCTGAAGAAAGAAAAGGGCATATGGAACTGGCAACACAATGGCCCCTCTTGACACGCGTTACGTACAAACTTCTGCTCTCAACACAATGGCCCCTCCATTCTCCCAAACTCCTTTGTCTCAATCATTTGCCATTGTTCGATCAAGTATCTTTCAATAAAATATATGCACAAACGATCCAGGAAAATCAATAGAGATTAAAAGATAGAGATTAAAACTGAAGGAGATTTGACCAAGAACTTTCGTGCATTCAAACCAAGAAATAAAGCATCCTAATGCAAGGACTTTTCCTAGTAATGGACTTCTTCTTCTTCTTCTAGGAAATTTCCTAGCGAAGTAGAAGTGACTTTCTTAACGCAAACAAGTAGATGGACTTCGGCCCAGTTTGGGATTGCTGTCACTTTTAAAAAAAGTTGATTCTACTGTGCTTTGAAAATAATTAGTTGTAAAGTAAAGCAACTTCATGTTTGTTAAACAATATTTTTAAAGTGCTGTTAGTACAAAAAGCAGTGTAAAAAACGTTTGGTAAATTTAATATAAAATTATTATAACTGTGAATAATGACTAAAATAGACATGATGTTAAAAGTGTTATGTACTAATCATGTGGTGGTAGTGGTAGTGATGGAGTGGAGGTGGTGGTGGTGATGAAGGTGAAGTTGGTGGTTGTGGTAGTGGTGGTGGATTTGGAGGTATTGGAGGAGGTGGCGGTGGTGGAGGAGGTGGTGGTGGTGGAGGAGGTGGTGGTAGTGGTGGTAGTGGTGATGTTGGTTGTGGTGGTGGTGGTGGATTTGGAGGTTTTGGAGGAGGTGGTGGTGGTGGTTGTGGAGGTGAAGGTGGAGGTGGAGGTGGAGGAGGAGGAGGTGGTGGTGAGGTGGTAAAGGAGGTGGTGGTTCTGGTGGTGTTGGCGGAGGATGAGGAGGAGGAGGAGGATGTGGTGGTGGTTGTAGAGGTAGTGAATATGGTGGTGCAAGTGGTGGAGTTGGATGTGGAAGTGAAGGTGGTGTCATTTTTAAAATGAATGATGGTATTTTGGGAATTAAAAAAATTCATTAAATGTTCATCTTTGCTTCTTTTGAAAGCAGCTTTGAAAAGCAACTCAGAACCTACTTTTAAAAGCTACTGTCAAAAGACCATTGCTTTTAAAATAATCAGGATATTTTTTTTTTACCAAACACCTTAAACTTCTTAACTTTAAAGTGAAGCAGGTTTTTTGCGAAAAAAAGCAATCCCAAACGGCCCTTCTTCTAGTCATTCCACCCGTCCACTATTTAGCATTATATGAAGAGGAATACTATTCACAATCGCTCAATAGTGATTCTCATAATCCTTGCTAGACACGTGTAACCGTTCTCATCCTTTCTTTTTTTTAAATTATTTTTTGTCTTTCTTCTCTCGGTTGCCTCCCTCTCTCTCTCTCTCTCTTATTCTAATATTGTTTTCTCTTTCTTCTCTCGGTTGCCTCCCTCTCTCTCTCTCTCTCTCTCTCTCTCTCTCTCTCTTAT